AATTTCCACCAATCATATTGCATCACATCTTGCGTCATACTGCTCTTCTCTGCATTGTATATGGTGATTCGCCTGTCTTGTGGCCTTTTTCCTCGCGTCTCGATTCTGCGGTTTATTGCGAGTTCAAGACGTTGCGGTCCGGTGCCACCGGTTTTCTAATTCGTGTTCCATGATTCCTATTGCGTAGTTCGTGTCCTGAATTCTGTGCGTGATTTCACTACTACTACTTCTGCGATCATTACAGTGTTGTTGTTTCGTGTTGTCCGTTGTGATTGACGATTTTGTCTTTGTCTCACAGTTATTGTCTCACTGACTTAAAGAAACCACTTTGACCGCAGCATACACGTGTCAGATACAGCGAAATGACTATGAGTATATTGCGAAAATATGTGTTTGTGACTTCTCCGTTCAAATTTTTGACGGGAAAGCAATGTTTTCAGTAGCACTATTGATTGATTAGATAATGCAGGCTACTAGCACGCACACGTTAGCACATCACACTTCAATCAATCAGATTTCGGTATTGAATACGCCAGTTGAGCTTAAAGCCTGCTTTCCTGTCCACGGTTGATTGTGCATGCCGATAAGCAGAGTTCAATGCTTACTGTGATCTCTTACGACTGCGTACACAACAGCTTTCAAAATATTTGTTAACCGGATACCCTGTAAAATACGGCTTCAACTGTACTACAATATGGTGTTGTTTGATACAAACTGTTGTAGATTGTTATTGCAATATTATGCATTTTTTTGCGGATGGGTGTGTGGGGGACACTTCATTGGTCATAAACATGAAGAATCACAGTTTAACTTGCAATAGTTATGGAGGGTCTGTTAAAATAATTTATTTGCATCCCGATTGACATTGCTAGAAATGATTTGGTAGATCGAACAATTGCTGATGAAATTCAGGCGCTCGTTCGATTCACCACTGTCCCCGTCGGGTAAAACCACTTTAATTCGTACAGCCATGCACTTTCATGCACCGGTTTCCAGTACTGTCTTTTAGTTGCCCATTTGAATAAAATCCCAGTCCTTCGATTCGATTCAAGTTGTATGAGTTTTATCCAGTGAAGCGTGAGAGCATAGAGAACAGTAATTATACTTTGGTTTACCTTTAAATTATCCGGCAATTCCGATCGTCCTGCGTAACCCGGATTCATAGTGATAAACACAGCACAGGTTGGATCCAATTTGATATCTGTGCCCTCAAATACAAGACGAACTTGTTTCGCATTAATTGCACGTTGAATGGTGAGAATTTGTTGAGCCACGACAGACAGCACTTCCAGATCTATGCGGTTAAACTCGTCGAAACAGGACCAAGCACCACAAGAAGCCAAACCCTGATAGAAATGGTCAAAATGTATGCAGCAAATGGAGTACTGTGAAACGGAAATCGATTTAAGAAAAGGAAATTACACAGCCATACATAACAATCATTCAAACATGGAGCAATATCGGCGTGTTTTCCAAATCAAAAGGGAAGAAAATACCATTTCTTTCTGCCTTGCACTAATGCCAGATCATTGTCTTGAGTGCTTTCTAAATCACGTTCAGTTTCTGCTATTCGGGATTTGCTACTGCAGTCCAATCGTTTATCAATAATCGACCATTTTATGTGGCCTTCATGTAAACTGTGGGGATTTCATAGACTAGCCTGATCTGTGTGAACGAAAATTCTGTACTCACGAGCTAAGAACACTACCAGGTTGCCACAAATTATTCCAGTTCACGAATGTTCATTGATTGAAATTATAAGCAGGCTTTGTGTCTGTCTGTTAACTGTGTTGATCTAGGTTTTGGTCATGCAACAGAAACAGACGATTTGGAATTTCCTTTTTTGACACGAAACAACTCATCTGTAACGCAATTCGTTATTTGGTCTCAACTTTGTGACGATGTCAACTTTATTCAAGCATTCGAACCATGCGAACTACAATTCGGATCGATGATCCCTTGAATTGAGTGAAACTAGGGAGAATACAGACGATCGACGAATACGACTGATTGCAGCAAGATGCGAAAATAAACATAGTGAGTTTTACCAATTTAGTGATTAGTTATCAATCGCCCAAGTCCTACCCCGATAGTGCGCACATTTTTATGCTAGTTAACTACAGAATTCTGAGAGATGTTCGCAAAGGCAATGTTAAGACGGAGCGCACAGAACTCGTCAAACCGAGCACAGATCAGCATCAAACCACCAGCACGCTCGCAATGACCAAGGCGGATCGATTCCGGATTGGACGTTTACGGTGAATCAGACAGCTGTCGTCCGATCGATCAATCAGATTGTCAAGGACGCGATATGATTGGTGCGTCACCACGTCGTTTCAGCATGCTCAAATTACCTACTCATATTTGCGTGTCGCATCCTGATCACGCAATACACTCCGACCGTTCTCAGGTGGTGTTCTCTTTTTCCCCGTATCACTGTTGGGTACCAGGCAAGAGGCGCTCGTATCGATTGCACGTCTAAGCAGGTATTCGATGAAAGGAAGCCAAAGATGATCAACAAAGACTTATAATGAGGGCATAGAAACTCTAACCAAGGGACTTGAACATTTAGATTGGGTTCTGCTTGCTAATTTGGAACCGTGGGATCGTTGCTTACGGTTACCGTTTCGGTTTGTACAATCATAAACTCGTGCACTTGTGTGCAGTAGTTTTGATTGTTGTCTTTTGAATGAAGGCGTCAAGGGAAGAAATGGAAAGCTGTGAGCTGTGTCATGTTGAAGACGGAGATACAGACACAGTAATATGGTTTAGTGTCGTATACAGATAGCTTTCATGCTAATTTGGTTTATCTACATTCCGTATCTGCACCGTGGTACTGCTTCCAAAATTTGGAAAATTTGGAGACCTGTTCGAGAGCGAAACTAGACGGGTAAAGTGATCCAGGCTATTGCTTATACGGCGGACGTGAACGATGTATGCCCCCCCTTCTTATTTCCACTTAAGGCCGCATTTGCTATCCTATGACGTTGAAAAGAATTATGTGAATTTTTGTCACCATAATATATGATAACCAATAATTTCTGACTACTTATCAAAGAGTTGATTATGGTCGTTTTTGTTTTAATGAATGACCTTGAAATGATGTCTGGTCGTTCCAACTTGCATAAAACCCTTGACCAAATCGAAGGTTTAGCTTGTGTTGAATACCTTCAGGATCGTGGTCTCCTTCCAAAGGAGAAATTGTGTGTGTGTGGACACCTAATGCGTGTGCAGAAGTACAGCCGCAGCAAGGATGCATGTGTTTTACGTTGCTGTAAATGCAAGAGGCATAGCTCCATACGTACTGGAACATTTTTTGTCAAGTCCAATTTGCCTCTGGATAAATGTGGTGATCTTGTAACGAGTACGCACGCACCGCGGTACAGCTTCCAGGTAACCAATCAAGAAGCGGGATAACCGACCAACCCTGTGGTCTCAATTGGCATCATCCGGATTGGCTGAGTGCAAGAAGGCAAACAGATAAACCATATCCTTGTCGATTGGACATTCAAGAATCGATCAATGATTGTTTGTTGCTTGTATTATATATTTCCATGATTTTCTCAATAGAATTAACTGTATCCACAGCTCGTCTTAGTTCTACCTGACTTTTCGCTATTCAGTGGGTTTTCAGTTCGATACCGGGTTCGCGATATTCGATTTCGATTCCTAATCCGAATACTACAATCAACTTGTGGAAATCATTGTTTATTTTGTCATGGAGGAACCTATGACGCGTGCAGCAGTCATGGCTAATGTTAGCAGGAAAAGTGCCATACAATGGCGCACATATTGCAGGAGTATGTGCTCTTCAGTGATGTGTTCAATGACCACAGAACTGGGAGGACCCAATACTGTTGTGGAGGTGGATTAAACAGTTACGGTCAAGAACAAATTCGGCAGAGGAAGACCGCATTCCACCATTTGGATGTTTGGTATGTACGATCGGAATCAAAAGAGAGGCTATTATCAACGGGTTCCTGATCGTTCTGCTAGCACCCTAATTCCCATTATACAACAATTGGTGCTTCCAGGAACAACAATCTATAGTGACGAGTGGGCAGCCTATCGCTTCCTCAGTTCACTCGGTTATGTGCATTCAACTGTAAATCACTCAATTGGATTTATTGACCCTACCAGCGGCGTGCACACAAACAATTTTGAGGCATTTTGGAGCCGTATAAAGAAAAGATTGAAGAACGTGCACGGATCCGTTGGTGAGATGATTTGGGATCATCTAGATGAGGTTCAATACACATTATGGTTTAATTTTTCATACGAGACATTTCCGGACGATATATCTACATTTATGGAACATATAGAACAGATTTATCCTTTGTAATTTTTTTTCATTCTTTCTTAGTCATAATTTTATACACTTTTTATCATTATTAGTGTAATTATTATTGCTTTTCATAATTTTCTAATAATATAAGGTGAGTATTATTCCACGGTTTGAGTCTTTTTCGTATATACTACTTATTAGTAGCTTAGTTATGGCGGCATAAATAGCTAAGGGGGGCATACATCGTTCACGTCCGCCGCTAATACGTTATCACTCCAAGCTATTGTTAGCCGACTGCTATTCAACAAAAATATTGGCTTATTTAATCGGGCTGCTTAAATAACCTCACTGGATGTGAGTCGAAAAGGTGTCATCATAGGCAACATCAGGTCCACTAGAGCAATAAGACACAAATCACAACGCATTGTTAGT